CCGGCCCGAGCCCGCGCCCCCCCCGCCCAGCCCCACACCCCCCCCCCCACCCACCCCCACACCCCCACCCCCCCACACCCACATCCACACCCACACCCACACCCACACCCACACCCACCCACACCCACACCCCTCCGGGGCTTCGCCATGTTTTTAATCTACGTGGGTGATTTTTGAACCATGTGTTCGTAATGACAAGATCATGTGATGGGCACCAGGCTATCAGATTATTTCCTCGATCGTTCTTGTTTCTTAGACCAAAAGGTTCTACAGTATTGCCAATGCGTTCGTCTTCCACTTTTGCATTGAAGTCTCCAATTGCGTAGATGATGAGTGTGAGTGTGGGTGTGGGTTTTTGTTCGCAACATCCCCATTCACCAACAGCCAAGCACAGCCTCAGCCACATCCACACCCACATGTTGGAGTCGCTCGGTTTTTTTTTACTTTTCCTCAAGCGACCACTTTCATTTCATCATATTTTTCGAAAAAAAATGATGAAAGAAAAAATAAGGATGCTTTGAAATAGCGTCTTGCGCAACGTGTGCGACATACTGTCAAATAGTATAAAAAGAGTCTCTGATTTTCTATTTCTTCGGGTTGTAGTGTATTGGAAACACGTCCGACTAGCAGTTCGGAAGATCTCGGTTCGAATCCGAGCTATTCCACCAAGCTTTCTTCGTAATTTCCAGAACTTTTTAGTTCTGGATATATACATCGGCTTTCAGTTCATGTCATACTATATAGCAGCTCAGCTACCACTCTCTATTCAGAGAGTGCTCCTGGGCTAGTGTGATATGTCTGATTGCCACCAATCGCTGTATATTTGCTTATTTCATTCGTTTGAATATTAAATACGAATAATAGCAGATGCAGTTGGTGGCAAATATTCGAACTCCATCGACGATAATTATTGTAGCATAAAATGTGAACGCCGACTGCATGCCTTTTTAATCGTTGTAATAATATTCAAAATATTTTAGTTTGCTAACTCTCAGCTGTAAATTTATCAACGTTTAAAGCTATATAATCGAAAGCTACTGGTCTACGTCAAAAAAAAAAGCGAAGCATTTTACCATATCATCACAATTCAAAATAATTATTTGTTTTCATGTTACTACTATGAGGAATATTGACGATATTCAACAGTTACGAAGCGAGTGATGCTGAATAAAGCTCAGTTATAAAATAGATGCTTTAATGCTTCTATGATGTTAGAAATGTTTATCATTTTTTCAATCGAGAAATCCTCATCACATTCCTATTATAAAATTGAAGTAACACAAATCATTCAATTAATCCTAATACGCTTGACTGAATTGAAATATGATAATCATAGCCGTAATAGTCAGTTTGGCTTGGTTTGTTCCAATATCAAAATTGAATTTAGAATTCGACTTCTTCTAACATTGAAAGCAATGAATGACAAATATTTCTATGCAAACATATATTTCATCTAAAAGGAACGGACTGCTTTCAATTGCGCACTGATGAATCAGCGACAAACACAGTGTTTTATTTCAATCGGCGCGATGTTTCATGTGAGACATTATTTTTTTCTTGAAACTTTATGTAATGATCAAGTGAATAATCTACAAACAGAAAGAAAGACACTGATTCAATGCATATAGTTGCTCGTTAGCTTTTTGTAAAATGAAAAACAACGTGTTGACACTAAGAATACTTCAAGTGTTGATTCCATTTGCGCAGAAGAAATACCGATCAGCAAATACGAAATGACGCACTTTGATTAATTTCATAAGTAGGTTTTCACTAACTCCAAAATAAATCAATGTAAATCAAAAACTCCAGTGAATACTGCTGAAAAAGTTAGAAGTCACACCATTGTTCAAATCTTCTCGATATTACTGTAAAATCAAACTTTCGAAATAATACTTATATCCACAGAGTCAGAAACATGTAAAAATACCGATGCAAGGCTTTGGTGAATAATGATTCTAGAACAAATGGAATCAAGCGATGGTTTCACTCTATTCATTACCGATCATACCTATTCTTTCAAATGGAAATATTCTTGGAGTTTATTGAACTTTATATCTTCAAGTCCTATCGTATGGCTCTGTTTTTAGCATAAGTTTTGGCGATTTACAAACGAGACATTATATCGATATGTTTTTTTAGTAAAACAATAATCTTTCCTCTTGTTATAAAGGGTGTGGGTGTGAGTGAGTGTGGGTGCAAGTGTTGGTGTTACCGTCTTTCATTAACCCGTAGCCGACCGCACACATTGAATCCCACACGCAAACGCACACCCCACACACACACCTTTCAAATATTGTGTTAAATTACCGAGTGTTCCAACAGTCAAGATTACTTCCGAACTGCGTATAAGTCGGCTCATAATCAAGCTTTAGCTAATTTTTTTCTTTTTATTTGGAATTGAGAAAGCCAGCAATTGTTTTTAATAAAGACGAATTTCACATATACTCTTCAAAAGTAATATCTTTCACTACAATACAACAATTTAGATGTTTTGAAGTTTCATCAAAGAACAACACGAAAAGAATGTTTTATTTTTATTACATCGATTTTTTGTAGACATTTAGCTTGAAATGACCCTATAGATAGAAGTCTAGTGATCGAGAAGCCCATTCTATTGAACCATTTCTTCCTATTCATCTGTTATGAAAGGTTTTGTTCAGCCATACACGAATCAACTTCGAGACATAAGTCGCTGCTCTATATTACTAGAAAATGATGGAGTTATTCAATCGTTTCTTCTGTAAAATCAGATAAAAGGAATTCTAAATAATTGTCTGGGGTTAGTATTTCATCATCGATGATAAGTAAATCGAAAGAAATGGCCCAATAGAATGGGCTTTTCGATCACTAGACTTCAATCTATGGGGTCATTTCAAGCTAAATGTCTAAAATCAATCGTAAAAGAGCTCTATAAGTTTTTTTGAAATATTAAAACATCTAAATTATTGTGTTGAATTCAAAGGTATTACTTTTGAAGAATATTCGTGCACTTCGTCTTTATTAAAAAACAAAGAAAATACTCGATAATGCACAGTTCGGAAGTGATTATCACTTTTGAGACGCTCGTTATATTCTCGCCAATTTCTCTTTCACAACACCATTGAGTCGGAAAAAATAAATCACACTCTTCTGTGGGACACTAACTGCAGAAAAAACAAAGAAACTCATTTTTCTTTCTTCTTCATCACGCTCTAATGCAAAAAATATGCTTTTCTCTTCATGTCGCAAAAAGAAGTCTTTTTGCTTTCTTCTCCATGACATTAAGGAGAAGCAAAAACATTGTGTTTTTTCTTTGCGATAATGATCAATGTAAAAGTTTACCTGCTTTCTAACAGGACTCTAGCAATATCAGGGTATGGTTGAGTTTGTATTCTATCGTGTTACACCCATACCCTCAATAATGTTGTATTTGTCTTGTTCGAAAAAAAACAATTTTATTGTAACTACAGACTTAGTTTTTTAACTTTCTCGACGATCTACGCTTAATATGAAGATTATCCAACGAGTTTTATGGTGACATTTTGGTAAATGCTTGTATGTTAAATGACATTATTAATATCACATTCAGTGATATCTGATTGAAAGATCGAAAAAGATAAACATAGAATTATTCTCTCGGGGTATGGGTGTGGATGTAGAGTGCGGGGGTGTAGGGTGCGGGTGTGGGTGAGAATGTGGGTGAGGCTGTGGGTATGGCTATGGATGTGGCTGTGCTTGGCTGTGGGTGGATGGGGATGTGCCGAACAAAAGACCTACACCCACATCCCACTCCCACACTGTTGCTGAATTTTTCGCTCATTATTTGATCGAATATATTTTAAATTTCCATCAAATAAATGTAAATGATTATTTGCATGTATTAATGTATATTCTTTAGTACCAATCATTAGATTTGATAATGATAAACGATAAGATTTTGGAAGTATTCGATGTTTATATGGTTTTTTTTTCATACAATTCGAATTAAAATATTCAACTAAACATAACATATTTGGATCATCTAATAATGTTGGTTGATCTACAATTATTTAATAATAATTATTCTTGTTTGGTTTTTTCTTAATAAACTTACCTATGAAAGATTTATCAACAATAGAATTCGATAATATTTGACAATTTATATTATTATCTAACAACAAAATGATTATTTTTTTTTCTTAATTTATTGATTTTTTCTTAAAATTTTTTCTGATTAATACCATGTAAATCAATTAACAATTGATTATTTGTGATTTTATCTTTTTTTTTAAAGAATAAATTTAATAAGTAATAAATAAAATGAATTAAACTTACTAAGCCAACCAGATGATTTCCAATCGGGTAAAAGACGACAGGCAATAATAGGTATTCGTTTAGTTTTAGCAAATTTAACTTGTTCTTGACATTCTTTTGAAACTTGATTTATTGGCGTCATAAAACATACAAAAATGCCTATGTTCTCAACAATATCATCTAACCTATAATCAAATAATTTGTTTACAAAAGTAATTTAATATTATTTGTTTAAATACCTTTGATACATATCTTTATTGATTGCACCTTTAGTATAAATCCATACAGGAAGATTTTCATTTTTTAAATAATAATAGATTTTTAGAACGAGTTCTTCATGTTTTTTATTATACGAAAATACAATATATTTTTGATGATAAATTTGGCGAAGGTGTCATTATTTCAAAATAAAATATATTTGATATTTTTTTCAGCCTCAACAATAGTTAATTTACTTCAGACTAACTCATTGTAAAAAAAGTCAATTAATTTTTCTTCTTTTTTATATGTACCTAAATGCATTAATAAGCTTTTTTCTTTAAAAAAAAAGCATAGTTTTGCTTTTTTCAATGAAAATAAAGCTTTATCAATTGTGATTGTAAAAGCGTTTATTTCTATTTGACACAAACTTTCATTGAGAGAATAAAGCTGAGAAAAGTATGCAAATATCTTGTCCAAAGCAACAGGTTGATATATTATGTAGATAGAGCATAGTAAAACATTGTACTTAACATATTCTTGATTTACAATTAATTATTCATTATAATAATTTTCAATTATCTACATAATATACGAAATATCATGTAACTCTTCTTAAGTTTGCATAACGATATGAAATAACAACAAAGAAAGTACATTGAAGAAAATATATTATCTGCATAACTAAAATGATTCAATAGTTCATGAAGCAGTAAATTTCAAACTTGCACTGCGTGTCAGAATTACTTAAATTTTCTAGAACTTGATTCGTCAATTTAATCTTTATTTTGTATTACTTTGAATATTAATATTCTAAATTAATCGAAAAATAAATAATTAGAAATTTAGAACCTTTGCCATTCAAAATCAATTAAAAGATGAGAAATCTGTCACAATATGTATCTCTCAATCAAAATTTAAAGTTCTTTCGTCAGGATATACTTTTTATCACTGAATCAATTATCAATATGGACAAAATAGAATAGATTATATAATGAAAAAGTATTGTATAGAATGTGGTCAACTTTAGATGATTCTATTTTAAACCCCCTCCCTTTCAAAAGAGTCACCTTTTGTCAGAATCATGGAAATCGAGATACATATATAGAGGTAGAGTCTGTCGTTTATCCTGATATAAATGACAAAAATTTTTCTTCGGTACCTACTTTTTTTCCCAAAAATTTTAAAGATTTTTTACAACCTCTATTCGAAAAACCAATGGTTTTTTAAAAAATTCAAAGATTTTTTTCTTTTTTCTTAAAGTTGTTGTCCAATGACGCAGTCCCCAAAAAAGTCAATTATAATCTGATATAAAGTCAAATAATTTTTTTTGTGTTTGAAAGAGCATGCCAGAACGCAGTGCCTAAGAGGGCCCTTTTTTTTTGATAAAGCTTTCTTTCTATTATATAGAAAAGGGACTTTATAATATAAGCATGAGTTTTTTAGGGATTTTTGAGTGATTGAATATATGAACCCTTTTTTTCCAATTAAAAGTAAGAATTTTTAAAGAAAGGATCCTCAAAGGCACTGCATTCTGACATGCTCTTTCACATGAAAAAATGATAAACCATATCGAATGAACACTCAGAGAGAAATTTAGGAGCTACGATAAGCTATTTTTCAACCCTTGTTTGGTTCGTATGTACCGTATACATCAGAATAGGAGGCTGACAATTTTATTATAGACGTCCTTTTACATTCTCAACATATTCTCAAAATTTCACGGCTGATTTCATCAACTACTTGAAAAAAAAAAGAGTAAGGTTGAAGCAGTTAAGAAAACTGAATTCACTTTGGTTGATTTATCATGCATTGATTCTCCTACAAAACAATTAATTAGACCGGTACAATATTTAGCAAAAAAAGGAGAATCCTAATCTACAGGTATTGATTGTTTCTACACCAACTTCTACTATGGGATCGAATTTTAACAACAACGATCGTATTCCAAAAAACTTACAAGTGGGAGTGGTTTATCGTTTTATTACAGCTATTGTCCATCTCATTATGTTGGCGAGACTACTCGACGGGTTATTAGATATATGTGGGAATATGGATTCCATGAATCAAATGCTATTAGTGGATTCAAATCGTCACAAACTACTCTCTCTCAGGATTTACAACAAACATCAGATTAAGAAGATCAGATCAACAAAAGGAGAAAAAAATCAATTCGAAAAAAAATTTTCTGTATTAGCTAAACATGAAATGAAATTTAAACATGAAATAAATTATTATGATTAGAATACTCTGTGCAAAGACAATTCCATTCAAGGATGAAAGATTAAGGAATCATTAGCTATTATAACATTCAAAACGGATTTGAATGTAACTACCCGATCTATTCCACTTTCCACAATATTCAGTCATATGAAATACTTATGGAATAACGATCAAGATAGCATCGTGCACGATCTTGTTAGTGTGATTTTAAAAATAACAGCAAAAACTCAATAAAACTGTTCAAAATTATATGATCACCTTCTTAATGATCAAGATCTACTAAAACAAATTCGATCATCAAAAAAAAATTACATACATACTACTAAAATACCACCAACAACATAAATATCATATTTTACGTTTTTACATATGCTGGTATGTATTATAAAATAGATAAGTAAATACTAATTTCTTTGTTTTGTATCTTTTGTGATTAATTTAGAAATATGTAACGAAGTAAAACACATAATGACCATTACTTTTTCTCAAATATAATATTTTATAGAAAAATATATCATAAATAATCTATCAGGAGAAAATCTTCACCTCGTGCGTAAAAGAAAATTTCAATTTTTGTTTCGAAAAAAAACAGTCAACAGATTCCTAATTTTAACAAAAATCTCCTGATCAATTCCTTGTTTTCTAAAGTTGAATTTGATAGCTCTATCACTCATTCATGCCCGCAAAACAGATGGTCAAAATACGAGATAATCTATGATGATGTGCAGTTTTTCTTCTTAAACACTTCAGAGTAAGAAAGATAAGGCAAAAAGATTTCCTTGGTGCTCTTTTCTTACCGAAAATGATTGACTGTGAGTTCTGTTTGTTTGATATTTCATAGGGTATTGATTTCCTTCTGAACTAACCCAAAAAATAACAAATTATTACATAACATGTGCAACTGAGTATTTTTCATGTAAAAAATGAGTAATTGAAGAGAAGGTGACAGAGAGAAAAAAAGAAAAGAAAAGGATGGAAAGCAAAAAAAAATAATATTACTGCTGGCAAGGTGGCTCACATGCTGCATTATACGACCGACGACGAAAGAACGTATATATTATATAAAGTAACGCACGAGAACACGTTTGGTTAAAATACAATCTAAGTAGTCGTGATGTCGTACGTTGTAACAGGTGCAACTGGTCAAGTCGGATCTGCGGTGATCAATTATTTTCTCAATCAATCGCTTCCTGTTCGTGCTGTCATTCGCTCTGAAAATAAAGCAGAATTTTTTCGATCGCGACATTTCGAAGTAGCCATTGCCGACTTTATCGACAGCAAGGCGTTGACCAAAGCGTTTCAAGGAGCAAAAGTAGTTTTTGCTATGAATCCTCCTGCTCTTACTGATCCGGATTTACCGGCTGCTGCAGTTAAGGTTAGTAATGCCCTGGCATCGGCTATCAAAGCAGCTAAAATGGAACGTGTAGTCGTTTTGAGTTCTATAGGCGCCGAAAAAAGTTCGAAAACAGGAAATATTCTAACAGCTCATACGCTAGAACAAGTGTTGAAGGGAACTGCTCCTCAAACAGTGATGGTTCGATGTGCTTCGTTTATGGAGAATTGAAATAATGCTATTTCAGCAGTCAAATCAGGTCAATCACAGGGTCTTGGTTCAATGTTCCAAAACTTAGACCGGAAACTCCCCCATATCGCTACCAACGATATTGGTCGTGTTATTGCTGAATATATGACCAAACTCAATAATGAAGCTGATAAATTGGTCATAATTGAACTCGAAGGACCTGAAGATTATAGTCCAAATGATGTGGCCAAGATAGTAAGTGATGCATTAGGGAAGACTGTTGCAGCTGTTGCTATGACCGAAGAGATGATCCGTGGTCTCTTTAACAAATTAGGCTTCCCGAAAACAACAGTAGATAATTATATCGAAATGCTCCAAGGATTTGACAATGATATCATTCGTTGGACAACAAATGAAACCGTCATTCGAATCAAAGGAAAACTCACTTTCGCTGACATTCTTAATAAAAATTAATATTGATGTTTTGGATTGTAATGAACTTAGAAAACTACATAGTTTATTTCTATCCATATGCATACTAGTTTTTACCTCGCTTTCAATCTTCCTTTTAACACACTGTAATATTATTAATAAATAAATATATTAGTTAAGATGATGCAAATCACCTTCTCTCACCATTTCTGATATGAAAAATTTCTTAGTGTTTCCTGTTAGTATCTTCGTAGCATCTGAAAGAAAGCCATCAGTATAGGTCAAGGGAGTTTTATTTCTTGATTCCATCGGTATTAGTAAATTGACAATGATCATAGTAAAGAATTACTGATAGAAACAGCAATGATCTTTGAAGATTGATCAGGATAAACAGTTTACTCTACGGAAAATTGCATTTTTATTACAGAAGCTTTAGAGCACTTTGCAAATGCTTTGAGACTTCCCTCGCAACAGAATGATATTGATAAGGAGATCGTTGCAGTATATTACAATAACATCGGTGACGCTTTAAAATTTCTGATAAAGTATAATGAGATCCTTGATAATTGCAATCGATGCTTGCAAAAACATACAATAACATTTAATCTGTATCGTTTTATCTTGGAAACTACAAAGGAGTATTGTCTAGTGATAATCAATACTTGATGATTCAGTGCCGATCATTACTATCTAAGCATCCAACACTTGCCGAGACCTGTTCCCATATATCCATGATTTATACCACATGCAACGATCACTCACAATCTAGCAAATACGCGAAAGAAGCACTGGACATCATATCACATTCTTTCTCGTTCAATTACGAAAGACTACAATTCTATCATGAAAACTATAATACAATTAGTCAGAAGCTCTAAATGATTGTTGAAAATTACAGCTTTTTTTGTTTTAAAATCCGACCGACACTCAATTTACATTTAATTATAAAAAAATGAAATATAATACTTCATATTCTTGTCATAGCCAACGCACAACTGATGTGAGGGTGTGGGTGTGAGTGTGGTTGTGGTTGTGGAAGTGTGTGTGCGTTTAAGTACGGACATGCATTCATACCCATATTCGCACCCACATTCACATGTTAGATCCCAAATTCACGTTGAAGAGTATTTATTTCAAAACAAGTCACAACAATGTTTTCTAGAATCTCACTCCATACATAAACCACACGTATATATATAATATTTACGAATCTATATTGTCCTATCTATCTAGATCTATATACATATATACATGTCATATTGTTAAGCATGACTAACTACGGAATAACTTTTTCTCAGGATCAAGAACAATACTTTATTAACTTTCACAAGAAAGATAATCAAGAGTGAAGAAAAAAAACAAGAGTTTTTGCCAAAAATAAAAGAATGAAAACTTTAAGAAGAAACAAAAGGACACAGTAAATAAAATATTTAATAGAACAATAGAAAAGTTAGATATAGTTATCTGTACATATGTGAAACGAAAGAAAAGAACAAATATATACGGATAGCACATATAACGCATTTCTAATGGTACATCCACTAAATGTACCATAACATAACACCCTGTGAGATATGAGATCTTGGAGTCATAGAAGACATCATCACGCAGATCCACACTCAGAAACACCGTCACACTAACACTGAAATCCACATCTACTCATTGTACGCCAAAATATTCATTAAATAATAACGAACAAAATGCCGAACTTTAAATTATATATACAATATACACAAATTGATGTAGCAAAATAAAATGGATTAAACCTTAAGAATTATGCAAAATGGTAGTGAATTCATGATGAACGGAATAAAATACTAGTTAATTCTCTATAACTGCTATGTACATCACCAGAAAAACAACAAAACATAAAATTTTTAATGGCATCAGCACTATTTCGTACACGATTTCAGATGCTTTTTCAGTGATGTAATGTTGTAATTTTTTAACAGAAGATGGTGACATTTTATCCTCAGAGATCGTTTCTTGTTGATGGCATGCTTCAGCCAAAAAATATTGCTTTTTGTATTCTTCACTATCTTTTGCATTTGAATCAACTCTAGTTCATCTCTTCTCTCTTCATCGGTGCGATTTTCAGTAACGGAGAGGTAATTATAATTGTCCATTTTGAGAATACAGTGCTTAGCTTCGTTCAAGTTGTCGATCGATAATTTGTTTTGAATATTGGAAGCAATCATTATGTGTATGAATTGTTATTACCAAGTGAAAGTTCAGCATAACAATGAGAATCGAATGAATATATTTACAAACGTCGAAAATATATAAAACCGAGATATGAAAAACTTCAAAAGAAATATTTAAAAATATCCTTAAGAACAAACAATAGATAAGACATAGTTGATGGCATCATTAAAAAAAAACAACATATATTGTATGTGCAAACTTAATGTAATAGAAAAAGCACAAGAAAAGAAAAGAATGACTAATCAAGTCAAACTGTAATACTAACTTTGAGAAAGAAAGCATCGCACGAAAATGGAATTATTTCCTCTACTAAAAAGAAGGTCATATACCGAGCAAGGTTCGTATGTTCATAATTTCGTTCGTTCGCACAGAATAAAAAAAAATACTTTTTGATCTATCAAATAATCGATCTTTGGACAAAAATTATTCTTAACAATTGAACTAGTCTAAAATAACTAATTCGTCAATCAATCACATGTATGCTTCCTCGTCGCTTCATTCAATGAGACTTCAGGTACCAGATTTTCAACCAATTATAGGCTTTCAAGTTCTAGGACTGCGGGTGTGAGTATCGTATAAAAAAAAATGTTCTGAACCACATTCACCCATACCCTATCCTTCAACATGGTCTTGTGTCACGACTAAATGTGCTTGCGAAATTATTTCTTCAATAAACAACACTCATACATACACCTACACTTTACAAATATTTATAATCATCAATCCCATATTGCCAAAGCAAATAATATCATTTCTTTCTTCTATAGAGAACATATAAATATGAAGAACGTATGGCTTTTGTTTTTCATTCGACACACATGATTCATAAGTGTTTTTTTTTTATATTTAAGTCAGATTTTATTCGACATGTGAGAATTTATGTTTTCTTTTGAATGCAATAAATTGTGCTTGAACTTTTACTAATCAAAAATAGTGGTAGATTGATTTATTCAAACGGAACAAATTTTAATTTTCGAAATGTTACCAGATGAAATAATATTACTCGTATGTAAATATCTCCATAGTGCCGAAATTCTTTATTCATTTTTCAATTTAAACTTTCGTCTGAATTCAACGATAGCTGACTTTTGTTATCATGTTAATATTAAGTACGTTACATATAAACAATTTGACTTTATTATGAAACAGATTATTCCTCAAATTAGTCTATTAATACGATCGTTTGTGATCAACGGACTATGGGAAAATATATCAAATACATTATATTTAACATTATTTCATTCAAAACTATCTTTCATATTTCCACAATTATATACATTATCACTTGTGAATTTTTCTGATATGCAACTGAACTTATTTCTTAAAAATATTACAGATCTCTCGCAACTTGTCAAGCTTGATATTAGAAATTTTCGAAATGAATATGGAGAAGTTTTACTTGAACAGATTTTAGCTACTAACAACAATCGATTGAAATCCATATTATTTGATGCTGATTCAAGTAATTTTATTCTGCCTACAACTGGAAATTCTGACTCTATTGCTTATCCCAATATTGAACAGTTGGTAGTGGAATTAATGACAACTAAAACGTTAGTATATTTATTCACACTTGTACCAAATATTAATCGTTTACATATTGATTTTCATGAATTATCGTATACTTCAAAATCGATATTAGTGAACATATCTTCTCTTGTTCATCTAACAGATTTTCAATTATGTCCAATGAATAAATGCTGGTCATTAGATGAAATTGTACATATTCTCAGTAAGATGCCATACTTGCAACGATTATCATTGAATCTACGTACAAAAGATGAGAATCTAATAAATGGAGAATATTTTACGCAACTTCTATCGATTTCAATTATTGAAATTCATTATTTATTAAATATCATTTCTCAGGAATACATACTGAAATAAATAATCTAATATCTACATGGCCAACTCATATTCAGATAACGTTTTTCTTAGATGAATCGAATGAATATGCAATAATCCATACAATTCCTTGTCATTTACCTTCGCTTATAATTCCTGCAGTCATAGCTAAATTCATGGTTACTGGTTCAGAATATACACGAAAAGTTGAAGATTTAGTCATTTCTGATAACCAATCTTCCACCAATATAAATCTGATATTACAACATTTCCATCGAATTCGAAAACTCACCGTTGGTTCATAGATATGTTCACAAACAAGTATGTATCGGGTGTCCCAGGAATAATGAGCCTCCCAGTATTTTTAAGATTTCCTGTCTATTATCACTGTAAGTAAAGCTGTCTTAATTATCAAAAGAAAGCGCTTAAAATTCTCTACAAAACC